CGGCGGGTGGGGTTGGAGATGCGCGGGGTGTGTGGAAATGAACCCCGAATGTTGAAACAAACTGACCGTCATAGTCCAGGAGTTATTGCAGACGTAGTTGTACATGCTGAGGCTTGGATATTTGTTATGAGACTTCAACTTATACAGAATCGGTATCGTACAATGGTTCGATGCATCCGATGATATTAACGGACCACTCATCCCAACCTCGTCTAACTGTAACACCCGAGCGAGTTCCGCGGTGCAGCTTCCACCCGCCCTCGTGTGAGTGCTCGAGCACAACGCCCGCAAATGAGCGCAGCTAAATGAGGTGCATCGCGCGCTGCGACGCAGCTCAGCGGGTCATATATCATATCCGAACCGTGTCCACGCGGCGCTCTGCTCCAGTACGGTCAATGACACTACCTGAGCCTTCGCGACAAGAAGGATCGCAAGGCGTTGGTGCGGCAGCCGGTCGAAGCACCCCTTCGCGCTAGAGGATTTCCGACACTCCCACTCGCGCAACAGCAAGATGTACAAGGTCGATCACGGAAGACGACCGTGCCGCTTCTGCGCTACAGCCCTCAAATTGAGTGTGCTCTGTTCATGTGTGTGCGTCCCGCTATCCTTGTTCAACAGTACGCGGTGTTCGTTGAGAAGCTGCGGACGCTATTGCCGATTTTCGTACCGCCTGCCACCCCGGTGAAGCCCTGATTGCCCTTCAACCACTACTTGCATCCCCTGGCTCAACACGAGAAGTGGTCACCCACACCCCCACTGTTTTCGGCGTATTAGACTCTGTACAACTTACTTAGCCTTGAGAGTATACAGTCGATATCCCGCCCCGCGCGTCTGGCGCGGCGGTGCGGCTTTCCCGCAAGGAGCAATACACTCGACTCCGCAATAAAATATTGAATTGGACTCAGATTGAATACTGGATAGCCCGTTCTCCTTGGCCTGTGATAAGTAGTACAATTTGAACGTAGTGTCCACATCGCCGCATGGGGTGGACAGTGGGAACATAGTCGGTTCTGCGACAAGATGACGGTGGTGTAAACACTACTACTACTGACCTGCGATGCTACCAGGAAACCAAACTAGATCCCGATTATGTTCTGCAATTCTTGCAGCTTGCGCTTAGAGCTCTTCTTCCTGTAAGATGACATCAGATGTCACCTATGTATCGTTGTCGTAATGACGTACAGCTTGCGGGACGGCCTCTTCCGTCGAGTATCTCCATCATCAAGATCTTCATCGCTGTCAACCGTTGCGTTCTCTGTAGAGTTGCTATGTCCCGCCGCTTGTTGAGCCAAAACACGAAGAACCTGCAACATGTCGTATGCAAGACGCGACCACTCCTTCTCCTCCTCCTCCCTGATATTGTAGGCCCACACCAGCAATGTTACGACGAGAAGGCGCACACCTTCCAGGCCTGGGGCTAGATTGCCGCGCCAGTCCATGCCTATTTCAGGCATGGCGCATATATGCCCATTTGAATCAAGTCGTTCTGGCGGTTGCAACATGGCCCACTGACGGGGAAGCGAAGCGTGCACATCGGCGTCAAGTTTAGCCGGCGTTCTGTTTGTGCCACCTTCTGCCCTTGTGTTCCATCTCGACGCGAAGCCTCGCAAGCCTAAGTCGACTGTGTAGCCCGGGTGCATTTCGTCTGATCCGTCTTCTATCTGCACGGGTTTCATCGTCAGTGCCATCTCATCCTGTGGGGCCTCATGTAAGCACCGAGTGACAGTCAAGATTTAGGGGAGATACACAGACCGTCTGGCTGGATTCGTAGGTCAAGTACGCGAGGCTGAGCTCGCATGCTAGGTACATGTCTACTCGACCATCTAGCTTGAGTGGTACCGCCTTGAAGAAGTTGACTGTATTAGACTCCTCGAGCCATGGCTTGCGAGGCAAAGTCTTTGCAAGCAGACTTCGGAAAGCTCGGGTGTACGAGGCCTGCCATCGAGCTGAGCTGAAGTATCGATTGCGAACTTCATAACGCACCGTATCAACATCCAATGCTCGATAATGTCCCAGAACATCGTAGGCAAAAAAGGTCGATGTGGTTGTATCTTCTCTCAGTTCGACCGTCGCCTGTCCTGCATGGCTTTCCTGCTCAGATTAGCACTTATAGCTGCGGCGTATGTTTGTGTTGCCACATACCGCGAGCTTGCTTCTCTCACTGCCTGTAGATGTCTTGCAGCGTTGAATTTCGACGTTGTGGAGATGGGTCGGCAAGATCCCCGATCCAGTAGCTAGAGCCGTGCAATTGCCATGAGACTGTCGTGAGTATAAACTTTGGTTCCCTAGAAGGGCGCTGGTCTTACATCTGTCAATGGATATAGCGTGAGAGGGAGCGACTTGTTCGTGTTCACTGTTTGAGCCGGCGAGTAGCGAGAGGAATTCCACCCCGCGGACCTCGTTCATACTTTCTCCGTCAGTGTCGCTTAGCTTGTCCTCATCCTCCTCGTCTTCTTCACCATCCTCTTCCAACTGTTCTTCTTCGCGCCCTGGTCCTTCAACTCTCTCAGAATGCTTTCCAGCGCCAGGGGCGCTATTGGCGAGGAAAGCAGGGCTTTTATACATTCGCTCCCATCGCATCTCTGGAGAAACAGGTCAGAGACGAAGACAGTGATGTGAGAAGTTGAAACCTAGTACCGTTGATGATCCGTGCCTGGCTTGCCAGATCGTACTGAAAGCGCTTGGTTCCTCCCGGATTTACATCCGTGTACAAGAGTTTAGGCTTCCCTGGGATGTCGCACACTCCCTCAGATCTGAAGTACGCATGAGTGCGAGGGCAGTAGAGAGCTAAGGTAAAGCTGACATCAAACTCGAGCCTGCAGGTCCGCTGAGGAACATAACCGCTATTCCGGAGGTGCGCGTTGCGAAGAAGTGCATGAGGTCGCTCAGGAATGTCTGCGACGCTTCCATGAATCTGAAATCCTCGGGTGTTAGCGTTTACATCTATCTCTTGCTGATACGAGGGCGCACTTGATCGCCTCCTCAGGTGAGTTGGGCATTGCTGATGCACTTGCTTCCCATTCCCGCATGGCCTTTCTATGAGCGCGCCGAGCTCTCTTGCGAGCGACCTTCTTGTCCTTGGGGCTTGCCGCCTTGTACCATTGTGACGCTACTGCGTTCCAGGTTGATATACGAGGTGGAGTGGCGGCACCCGGAACGATGGCTCGTACTTTGGCAGCGTGTTGAACGTCCACCTCCATCTCAAGTTTGGGACGCGGCTTCGACTTTGCCCATATCTTATAGTCCTGCTGACGCCGAGGCTTAGCCGCAAATATCTTGATTAGATCGACGATATCTGTCGAGGGTTGGGCTGCCGTCCCGGCTCCAGATAGCAGGTTTCTTCGCCAGATTTTCTTGACTTCCTACGAGAGATGTGAGCGGTGAATATATGATAAGGGTTGCTCACATCACGCACTTCTCGGACCTTCTTGAGGGTGGAATCTCTCTGTCTCTGTTGGTCCTCATCTGCGGCCTTGTCAACGCTCTGTTCTTGGTCCTTGATCGAACGTGCATGTAGTGGATCGTCCCAGCCGTATCGTTGAATCAGATTTCTGGCCGTTGCATTGATAGCGGCGGTGATGTCACCTTGAGGCGCATTCCTAGCCTTCAGCGCTCGATAGTCCCCCATGTCCTCTGTAATCATCTGGGCTTGAGCCGCACCCACATTGGGTGGCCGACCGCGCGCTCGTTTGACACTCGCCGGAAGTTGATAGACGGACGACTTTGCATACACAGGCATCTCGCCGTTCCGAGTTGAGGAGAGATGTGAGGATGATCCAGAGGGGTGACGTCCAACGAAGTCCGTGTTGGTGGCGGGAAACAAGAAGTGCATAAGCTTACAATAGCATGTATAGTGAGCATTCAGGCACCCAATCCGCTAATTACACCTGTTTGGTGAACACCGGTACTCCTGACGCCGGTCACCATTAAGCGCTTACTGAGACGACCGAACCGTTCACTAGGGTGAAACGTGAATGATGGGCGCGTGTATGATTCGAAATTCAGTCAACATGTCCATACCTGCCCATACCAACGCGCCGTGCCCTCTAATACCGGGTCCTGGGTTCGCGTGACAGTCATCTTGCCAGACAATACCAGCACACACACGTCAACGACGAGTTGCTCATAAACTACGACGCGAGCGTAGGGGCCCTCGCGTTGCACTACAAGATCCTACTCGGCATGCTCAAGTCTGAGCGGTTTCACTGGACGCTCGAAGAAGCGGAGGACGACACGACAAACACGTGTTAGGACTTCTGGGGACCGGCCGCCTGGCTTTTGAGTGGACATCCTGGATCCTATGCGGGAAGGAGCTGAAGGCATGCGCTGACCTGCTCAAGTAGAATATGACATGGGCGCTGATGGGGGAGTTGCTATCAGCGAGCGAAGCAACGGCCCGCGGTCGGCGGTGGAGAGCAGCGGGCATGTTTGAACCTTTCCTCCTTGTCTTACACCATCATGATCACTCTATCATTTATAGTGCACGATGTCTGTGGCTATGTACCCCCGTAATCTGGAAACATGGATAAGCTAGACGTATGTGTGAGCTGCGGGCAATGTCTCACGTTCAATTGCGTTCAGACGGCTTCCTAAAGTGCTGATGACATCGAATAAAGTGCATCGTACATCATCCTGCACGTCGTACATCTTCAAGGACGCATCAGATAAAGTACGGTCAAAGGTCAATATCAGATTCTCCCTCCGTCCACGACTCTCCATCAGATGCATCTACATCAAAGTCGGCTGTACCGAAGTCGTCGTCCAAATCACCGACGATGTTCTCCTCGCCATCTGGAGTAGGCATCTGAATATCATCATCAGGTAGATCGCACGTACGACTGTTGGTCCAATCGGCAGGTGAGTGGTCAACATCCTGAGCCTCTTCGCCGTCTTCACCCATGTCGCTTTCAGGGTTGACCAACTGTAAGCGACTGCCCCGGGCATCTGAGCACTGGGCGGGGAAGCTGTACGCGTACTGGTGTCCGAAGATTGAGAATACCCACAATGTCCTGTAATGGATGCCAGGTGAGCAAATCACCATGGAGTATGTCAAGGGTTTGTGGCATACCGGACCTGGCAGTGAACGAAGAGCCAACAAGGGGGCACGGTCATCCCGAGCTGAAGGGCAGATGTACGAGCGTTATATTCCTTGAGAGGGTAGTTCGCGCCGTTAACTAGAGCAGCGAAGTCCTTCAAGACGATGTTTGGTGGAGGCGATCAAGGCTCTACTCGAGCGTGGCGATATCGTCGGTCAGGTCTGGCGTCGCGTGATGACCGCCCTGCTTTGCACCAAGCAGACCGTGCGCAGAGGTCGCCAGATCACGTAGTATCTTGATGCAAGGGACTACCATGACGCGCGACTCCCAAGAAGCATTACTCCCGTGAGCGTCGTAGTACTCCTGCGAGAAAGGAGTCAGCGTGAGCATATTCTCAAATAGCTTGATATTGTTGACATACCTTGATCCAGTACACCAAATGCTCTATCCCAAGATCAGGAGAATGGTAGTTGTTTGGTCTGCCGGTGGGGTTGATGAATATTGTTCAGGACGGTCTTACTTTAGGAGGTGTCAGCAGGTCAGAGCGAGAGGGCAATAGAGCGTACATACGCAGCAGGCTCGGACCAGCCGTGTCATTGTGTAGATGAAATGGACACGTATACTTGGGACGCCGGCTTCCGCGATACACGTGCGCCCATACTTTCAGCGCGGTGTATACGCAATCCGAGTCCTCCGCCTTGATCGCGTCGGAAAACTGCGCAACTGGCTCCCTAGTGAGTCGCTCGGCCGAACACCCTAACAAAGTACAAACGCCTGCGCCTAGAAGCAATGGGTCAGATAATCGTATGCGCAGGCGTAGACTGTGGCAACTTGTCCTGTCCAATTCAATCGACATACTGATATAAACAATGGACGTGCACACCGGCACTTGGCATCCTCAATGGCCAATATCAAGTACGTATTCCTAGTTGGTCTATAAGCAACCGTGAACACTGATGATTGTGTTGCACTTACCCAATTGTGTAAATTGCACAACAGCAGGTTCCACCACCTCCAAGCCCAGCCTTTGTACCGTCATAGACGCCGATGCCCGCAGCCCGGAACCGGTTCTCTGCGGTACCACCCGGGTCACTGACTTGCGCGCATACTCCATGCTTGTCGCAGGGAAGGGTGGCAATCTACGCCACCGTGGTTCAGTATCGACCAACGGCGAATGACCATTATGCTCCCTCACCTCAAGCACGACTTCGAACACTCTCCAAAGGGCGGAAGTCGGGGAACTGCATTTTCATCGCGGCGGCCTCGTCCTTTCCAGCGGGTGAGACTGGCGCTGAAAGGACAGTGCGGTGAACCTGTCCGATGGATGCAGCGGCAAATGGGATGGGATCGAATGAGACGAAATTATCTCGCCCTGAGTCGTCGAGAGAGGCGATCATCACTCTTTTTTCAAGTTTCAGTACGAGTGAAAGCTTGGGACAGAACTGGGTAGGCGAGCCTCCATTTCCCGGTTCGGCATGTAGTACGCGCTATCCTGAACGCGGCGGAACAATTTCTAACCCTTTTGCGGTAGAACGTGTGTGTCTGAACGTATCGTTGAGCGACCCGCTTCCGGACGTTAAGATAGATAGATGGCCTTGTGCCCTACTTTGAGTGCGGCTCCACGCATCTGGCTCAACTTCCCCACTAGCCGGGAGACGTTGGCTTCGGTCATCATGAGTGAGGCCGATGAGCCGCCGCTACGGAGAAGCTCCGTCGCGGCGCCATAGCCAAGTGACGCAGCAAGACCTACGCTTGATCAAATACCGCTCGATTATGTGGTAGAGTATGACGTACCTCCGTAGTGGAAGAACCGTCCGATGCGAGAGGAGAGGGAACTCGGGAAGACTGAAGAGTTCTTCTAGCCGGTGCAGCTGCTATGTACGCCAGTGGGGCTGCTTCGAGAGGAGCCGAAGCGAGTGTGGATGCAGTGGACGCCGCAGCCTCGCGGACAGCGGGAGAGGCGCCTTGTACCGTAAGTCGGGCCTTCGAGACGAGTGCTCCACATCACTCGGTGGCGGGCGGCTCTGAGTAGGTCTTTCGTTGAAGATGTCGTCTTCGGAAACGACAGGCAAGGGTTGTTGAGCGGGAGTAGAGCCGGGGGTTCTTGTTTCGAATGACGGCGCATGGCTTGAGCTCGGGGCGGGGATGAACAGCTCATCTTCTGGTACAGCAGGGATAGTATGTGTGGGATTTTCAGATCCACTATAGGTTCTGGCGCACGGCCGGAGCTCGGTAGAGGTTTGAAGAGCTCGTCCTCTGGAACAACCGACAGGGGTTGCGGAGAGTGATCGCGCGAGCTCGAGGCACATGCTGGGAAGACGAGGGCCCGTAGCCATTCTTCGTTCGCTCTGTGAAGGGAGTTGGAGGGAGGAGATTCGGCAGAATTGGCGGTGACTATGTCTTCCTGGGCGCCCTGCGCTCGCTCGCGAAACGGCGTGGCGCGTGAGAGTGTACTGGAAACCTGCGAGGTTCAATAATGTGCGGCATGTTCGAGTATCTGAGCGAGAGAGTGAGCGGCAGCTAGCCAGTTGCATGCTGGTCCCGGAGGCATGTGCGTGCTATCGGCTCATGGAGGTTAGAGGGAAATGTATTCGAACGCGTCACAGTTGCGTCACAGACGCGTCGACGCGTCGAGATCGGGAGCGCGGCTGGTCAAACGGCGTCATACTTGTCCTTGACTTTCATGTCCTCGTCGCCTCACCACGAGCCCTATGCAGTTATACCATCGTCTTGTCTTATAGCCATCCAGATCACGAACATGTCTGCGACCCTCTCACAACCAATTCAAATCCCTGCGCTCAGCATCGCTACATCCACGGTTCTCGCTATCATCGACGTCGTTGCGGTATGTGTATCTACCGCCTTTCCAAATTCTCGACGCTAACATACACCTCTGAAGGAGGTCAAGACGAACAAGACTGAATGCGCAAGACTTGCGTGGCGAGCTTCACAGATACTGCTTTAACTCGCGCGACAAATGGAAGGAAACTGGGATACTGCTCCGTCTGCGCTCGTGTGCAACATACATGACTTTGAGCAGTGCGTCGAGCACACAGGGAGACTCATTGTGTTGATTTTGACCGCTGACTGTCCGACACAGAATATTGGCTGACATTCGCGAGTTCATTACCACTGCGAGCGATGCGTTGTGGCTCAAGCGCTTAGTGGGCAAGTCAACGATCGAAGATAACATGCGCGACATGAATGTCAGGTTCGATGCAGCCGCCCAATCTTTCTAGGTATGATCGTCTCAGCACTGCCAAACGTAGTATACGTTCACATGCCCTTCTAGATTGCCTCTCTCATCGAGATTCATCACGCGCTCGGCGGTGGTTTGGAGAGCTCTCCTTCACCCGCGGGAGCGGTTACGGCCCAGCCATCTATGCCTCTGCCTGGACCAGCCATCTTGTCGTCGCTAGTCATCGTGGACAAAGCTGGACATACGTCGCGATCGCTAGAAGAGTCCATAAACGTGAATATGCGTTCCCGAGCGGACGTAGAGGTCTATGAATTCTTGGAGGGCATCAAAGGCTCTAAGGACAAACACGGCGTCAGTACTGATTCTGATATATGACTCTGAGTTGCTCACCCAAGTGATTCAGTTCAGCATATACCATCACCAATGTGTTCGTATTGGACGTACCCATCGACGCGGGATCGGCTGGCTCTCCGAAACGGCCGACGCTGAGGTGAACAGCCAAAAGGTGGCCGTGAAACGTTATGGGTCAAGCAGACAGGACGTGCATGTGAGTCATGCTCATGCTCGATTTGAGATCCGACTGATGCAGCGCTCCAGCGCTGGGTCCAGGACGTTAAGCTACTGCGTCAGTTGTTGTGCGTATCACGGTTACAGGCAGCGTAGTCGGCCAATTGACACTGACTGAGCATTTGAAGCGACGCAAATATCCCGCAATTGGTCGGCTACTCGGACGGGCAGACTGCCGTTCCTTCATCTTGCTCTCTAACGGTATCCTTCCATCCTATACGTCTCGCATCGTACCCAGCAGTTGAATGCAGGAGCTACGAAAGACGTCGGTTTATATGCGCCCGATCTACTCAAGACCGAAAGCCTAGCGAGATGCGCAACTTCATTCTTGGACATCGTAGGAGTTCATCGTGGAATGAACATCTTCGCATGCTGACATACCTTGCTAGTGAGCGCTCATACCAGAGTTATGGCTGGCTGTACATCTAAGAGTCTGTGTGCAGTCTGCAGCGCTGCATGTCCAGCAACAGCTATTCATCATAAATGAGGTCCTCCAAGACTACGTTGAGGTTTGTCTGCCATTCGCAGCCGGAAGCTGGTAGGATGGATGCTTAACTTGTCATGAAGGGAGCGACATACACTGTCGACAACGACAACAAAGACCTCATGGGAGACGCGCCGCCCAAAGACGGCTGGCACACCTTCCGCGGCTACAACCTCTGCGAATTTCTCGTCGATCGCGCTCTGAAGTACCTCAAGAGCCTCAGCGCGATGGAGCAGTCAAGTACGGCTGGCAGCCTCGCGCGGACGTCGACCATCGGGCGGACGAGGCAACTGATGGCGCTGCTCGAGGCGCTTCTTCCGAGTCACGCGGACGCACCTCAGCTTTCTCAAGAGCTTGAAGACTTGTTGGATGATGGCGATGCGGAGCTCGGCGATTTTCGCCGCCTTGCGTTGGCGTCTGGTCGACACGAGCACTCGTGGTGCGAGCGGTGCTCAGCCCAAGGGGGACCCGATCCGGGAATCCCGGCAGCAACCCTCGCGGGTCTCGGGAAGTGCCGAGCACTTGGTGATGGCCGCTGGCACGC